GGCATATGGAATAGTTTAAGATGAAGGACTGTGAGAAAACAATAGAGCATCACTCTGACCTTCTCCGTATCCCCAACCCTCCCTCCACCTTCTTCCCTGTAGTAGGTCATAAAACCCAGGAAAGACTCTGACCTTTCCCTGAAGCATGTCAAATGGCCCTCATGTGAGAAAAGCCCTTCCTATACCTGTAAAAAAGGAGCACCCTTATCTCTGAAGACAGAGTGACACAGAATGAAATCAGAACAAACAGGTCTTACTATGTTTTCCCCAGTTTATTGCCATTAAATCATACTCTTGGCCCCATTATATTTCTCCATGACTGTCTGTTCTTTCATCAAACTCTGCATACAATTACTCAGGTCTAACTTTTTTTCAGGTCATTTCCTTATGAAGCCTCCTGTGTCATGTGGAGGAACACAGGGAACTTCACCCCCAAAATATCACTCTTTAGTATGAGCATCTTGAAATAAAGGTCCTTAGAGATCAACAGGTGCTGGATGAGACCTTTCCCCTATCTACATAAAGACTGGACAGACTCACCTAGGACAGCAATGATTTTTCCTCCCCACCACCCCCAACTTCTGTCTCTCAATCCTCTACTTCTCTCAAAGCACAGGATAAAGTTGTTCTCTGAAGCTCTCTATCTGCCTAAAGTCTAGATCTACCAAAGAAAAAACAATTACCTCTGGTCCCCTTCCCTGAGATTTTAGTTAACTGAACTCATATCATAGGAAGCAAGGCTGTCAACAAACCTAGGCAGACTTTTGTCACAAACCGTTTTCTGCTCTGCGGGCCCCAGACTTTGTCCCAGACCATTGTATGTTCAAGCCCATTGAATTCCCCCCCCAATCATTTACCATCCCCCTAAAAGCATCCATACTTCTCCACTTCTCTTTTCCCTAAGAAACAGGGTATATAAACATCTGTACCCCTCTGAAGTATTGGGCAATCGCTGTCATCCTCCCCATGTAGTAATAAATATGCCTGCCTTTTCTCCTATTAAATGGACTCTTGTCAGTGATTTTCAGTGCAGCTTCAGAGGGCGAGAGTGAAGCTTTCTTGAGGCCCCAACACATGTGAAACTTAAATTAATTTGTATGCTTTTCTTGTGTTAATCTGTCTATTGTAATGGGGGCAGAAAGAAAGACATCTTGCGCCCCCTACAGTTTGCATATAGGGCAGAGGAAGCTCTGTGAAGCCTGTTTCTTCACCCATGGGTGTTCACCTCCCTAGTCTGAATGACTCAGAGGCTTGGTGCCTAATCAGTGGGGACCAGAGACCTACAGTGCTGCCAGAGCATCCCTCCCTTCCATCAGTAGCGAGTGACCCTCTGACCCTCTGAAAGAAGAATCACACTCTTAATGGATATTTTCAAAATAATAATGACCAAAGTAAAACACCTGAAAACATGACAGTAATAGAGGCCACTCAGAATTTAATATGCGATCACTCTGGATCGACGAAGAACACAGTTTGTCTTTATTAAATCATCTATAAACCATTTAACAGAGATGCTTCTTAAAGGGAATGAACTAGTTACAATGGTGCCATAGCTATGTCAAGAGGGAGCGCTCTCAGCCAGGAAAGCACAAATGCCACGGATAGTTTACAAAGAATTTGGCAATACAGTTAGGTGTGGTTTTCTTTCTTATAATTACAAACGTTTCTCAAATAAATACACCTGAATTACATAGAAAAAAAGAAGATACAATAGCCTTATAAATGAGAAAGAAACCAATATATCTCTCCAAGATAGCCGGTTTAGAATAACCTAAGTTTGCATAACCAAAATACCTTGAGATGGTGTTCCCATCTCTAGTGGTACTCAAAGAAAGAAGCAGTACATATCTCCCATTACACATATCGATCCTGTACAGAGTCCATGAATAGTTGAACAGCTGCAAAATTCTGATTTTTGTGTGAGTAATGGCAGCTAAGTGATACCGTGTAAAATATTTGTAAGAACTGATTGTATATTAAGTTTGACTACTCATCACTATAATTTTAAGCCTACATACACCAAACCTAATGTTATATGTCTTTAAAAATCAAGTCATTTCCTCTGCATTTAGAGACTATCTTTCCCCCCTTCCTTTGAATTTTCATTATAGCTAGTCATTTTCCTAGGAAAATTCAATATGTTGAAGTATTAAAGAGAAGCAAATCCAATTTTAATCCTATGTTTAAAAATGAAAAGTATCTGCCGTCACCTAACAAAATATCCCCCATCACCTTTGTAAAGTGAATATTAGCCTAACTAGATGTTAAATCACTCCTTCCCCCCCCCCCCCCCCCCCCCCCCCCCTCGCCCTCCTCCACCAGTCTCATCTCTCCCGCAAGGCAGGCTAGTTAGACTAGCGCCTCTTCTTTCTCACACGTGTGCCGGATTACAATTTAAATGCAAATAACCCTGCACCTCATTATCTAAGTTCGTGCAGACTTGGTACAGTTGACTGTGCTGAAGCCTGTGAAAATTAAACGGAGGTTCATCTGTATTCTAACACATGCATTACTTAGAGTAATTTCAAAAGAGCAATTCATCACTGCTTTTATATTAAACACTGGAGTTGCAGAGTGCCTAGGTTACGGAGGAAAGCCTTCCTTTTACCACACTGGGAAGCCTTTTTACAAAGGCAAAAAGATAGGAACCTCTCTTACTGTAGCTGTTCAATTAGTTCCCAATGACACTAAGTAACTGAAATAAGAGACTTCATTTTAATACGAATACAGCTAGTTGAGTGGAAAAGATACATTTATGGTAATGCTAAGCACAACGGGAAGACAGTCTATATGCATTCCAAATACCACTAACAAGGAAATTATCAACAATGATTTACCAAACTGACATCACTCCAGAAGATATATTTTTTATTTTTTATTTTTTGCAAAATCATTTTTCAAATATAAGGTTACCTTAAAATAAGTCTTTGGTTAAAGTATAATTAAAATAAAAAGTAGAAACTCCCCCACGCCTTTCACTACAGGGTGAAAAATACCCCCCTCTTTTAGCCATCAGATGGCCATTTAGTCAGCCATTCAGATTCTATGAATCTAAATGTAATGGAAAACATTGTAATCTGAACTCCATACTGGGTGAAGCAATAAGCTCCTAGCTACCAGTGCAGTGATGGTGAAGAGAGCCTGGGAAAATGAAACCCCCAGCTTATGCATTAAAATGTGCCAATTAGTCTCTAGTCCGTGGAGTAATAGACGTGGCATTTTAAAATCCCAGAAAACAAAGTTCCACCTGTGAATAATACTGGGGCATTATCGGATTCATGTGGCACACTTGCAGAAGCAGGAAACTATTTCAGACTTTCAATCCCAGATTAAATCCTTTAAGTTAATTTCATTTCACCTAGTTTATTTCAGATAACTTTCTACATTTAAAAAATTCCTCTGTACAAGAAACCACTTGATTATTATCTGGCATTTCCTTCCTTGTCCTTCCTTCCTTCTCTCCCCACAGACCACTTATTCTAATAAGCATCAGCTTCAGATCAAAAAGAACCAGTTTTAGCTTCTGGCTTTAATATCAACCTAGAATTTTTGTATGAATGTGAAATCAGGTAATACATGTGTCTGTTTCTTTTATTAGACATAGGTTCAACATGACCTTCAAAGATTTTCTCAGTTGCAGTCCAAGGTGTTTTTTAAATAGGTGAGTGTGCAATGAGAGTTTAAATGAATTCAGATCATTTGTGTCAATTTGATAAGCATTTTGGATAAGTAAAGCAGAGGAATATACTCGTTCTTGTACTCAGGGTTTCTCATCTAAATTATTTAGAAAATTATTACTATTATTATTATTTTTTGAGTTGGAGTCTCACTGTCACCCAGGCTGGAGTGCAGTGGCTCACTCACAGCCACCACAGCCTCGATCTACTGGGCTCGGGCGATCCTTCCGCCTCAGCCTTCCTAGTAGCTGGAACTACAGGAGTGTGCCACCACGCCCAGCTTTTTTTTTTTTTTTTTAATTGTAGAAATAAGGTCTCACCAATTTGTTGGTCTCAAACCCTGGGCTCAGGCAGTCCTCTCACCTCAGCCTCCCAAAGTGCTAGGATTACAGGTGTGAGCCACCGTGCCCAGCTAATTTAGAGAATTATTTCAGATCTTAGTCTCCTTTCGCTCATAAAGACCACTGCCTAAGGCTGTGTCCATACTGGACTAAGAAGGATGGATTGTAGCCCAAACTGAGTTATCAGATCATCACAGGACTAAGAAATTGAGAACAGTGATGCTGATAACCTATTCTGTACTCTATTTTATACAAGTACAGATACTGCCCAGAAAAACATTGCTACAGTTTCAAGGTGATCTGATATGAAGTGTTCAAGCATTATTCTGAGCACTCAAAGTCCACGAAAATTTGTGGTGACTCTAATAAATACTGGGCTACAGAACTGACTAGGCAGTGAAGCCACTTCTTTACAGATACCAGAAGAATGAATTGTAGTGACATAATGTTAGAGGTAATGTGACTTTTAAGAACTTTAAGGGGAATATTTCCCCCTAAAACATTTTAAGGTGAAAATATTTATATTAACATATCAATACAGGGATATCTTTATACCCAGAAGCTAGGTCTGTATTTATGCAATGCTAGAAGAAACCATTCTACATTTTTAAAATGTAGAATTCATGGCCTGTTTCTCTAAGTGACTTAAAAAAAAAACACAACTATAATCCTTCTGCTGGTTAACATTTATAGCCAGCATCCTTTCACTTCCTCTTCTTTCCAGGGGTCATCAAATTCTAGTTTCAAATATAAGCATAGATCTATTTTTATATACCATATGTTTTATGCATCTGGATTTTAAAATGTATTTAATGTTGCTATAACATATATAGATTTGTTTCATACTAACTAATGTCCCCTTTAAATGTCTGGGATTTCACTTTGCACACATATTCTGCAGAATAAACTATACCATACCGACTATTGTGGCCATCAACAGTCACCTAGTCACACCATTAAATCTAGACATTAGTAACTGGTGTTTTGGCTTGATTGTCATTTATTTTTCTTTTAAATAAACTCCCTCCAAATGCAGGAAGTAGGTGTAATGAGAAACCACAGGATGTGGTTCTCCAAATTTCCTCAAGTAGCCCTACCTATATATTTTAAATTATCATAGAAAAACAAACAAACAAAAAAACCAGCAGCACAAGTAGCAGTGCAGCCGTGAGTGTCATTTAAATTAGTTCTGTGACCTGACTTCATTATACATCCCTGGAAGAATTGACTCATTTGTGGATGTTCTGTTAAGGTTGACATGTACTGTAGGTGTACAACAACCTGACCCTTGGTATGGTTTGCAAAGGTGTCCATATTGCACAGCATGAGCTTCTTGCTGCAAATAATGTATCTAACATACATTCGTTCAAAATGTCAACATCCTGAACTAGTTACCATGGTCTAGAGTCTAGGAGCAAAGACGAGCAAATGGCAGTGATTGAGAAACAGTATGGGTAATTCCAAGTCACTTCATATTTTGCAAGTTCTCTGCGCCTAGGATTGAATACTTTACACATTTCTCTTATCTTCCTCCTGAGTATCCAAAAGTGCTTTGGAGAGCAAAAGTGCTTTGTCTCCCCATTTCACAGATAGAAGCAAGGGGGAAGGGCTGTAGCAAGGGCCAGCTGCTCTAGAGAAAATGCGGCAGTGCCAGGGCACATGTTAGAGTCTTCAAGTAGCGTCTTGAGCCGGCAACACTGGTGTGTGGGGTCTACTGAGGGTAGAATTTGATGTGTGACCTAAGAACGACTCTCTTCAGGGCACGTTTTCTAGTACCTTAAAAGGATTCCTCAGCTTGGCTCTGCCTAACTGAAAAATGGAGATCAAAAGAACATTCCATCCCCAACAGGTTGCTCGATGCTCCCCCAGCTGGACTCTGGCCATGCTCCTTCCTCATGCATCCCTTAGAGCGAGCTGGCGGCTCCCTTTGGGAGGAGTGAGGCTCCATAGCCCTGCATAGATGGAAGAAAACTACCTGCTGCTAGTGCCCCAATTCAGGAAGACAGTTCTCCAAAGCCTCGCTGGCGAGGCAAGAGTCCAGAGAGAACGATTTTTTTTTCTTCTCTGAATCAAGTCTCCCTTATTTACACAGCCCCATCACAAGAACTTTAAGCGTAAAAAGAAATATGCTAAATTATTCTGAGCTGTCCGCTTAGCATGTGGTATGGATTTTTCCACTGTTACTAAACACACAAAAAGACATGTCTCCAAAAGGCCTTTTCTTCTCATCCACTCATGTGGTTTATTCTTGAAGTAAGGTCTCTCTCCAGTTGAAGCCCCCAGTGGGTCCATGGGTAAGTGGAAGGATAGGTGGGTCTGTTAGCTGCCATATTCCAGTTTCTCCTAATTCTTCACAGGAGCAAAATCCCAGGTAGGGGATCTGAAGTAAGAGTAGTAAAGAAAGAAGAAATTGAAGACAGAGGTTTAATGCTTTAACTTTTTTACCTAGACATAAAGGTATTCAGGTAGCCCTAGAGAATAATAGGAACACACAGAGGCTTTGTAGAAATGCATTCTCTTAAAAAATCAATAAAGAAAATGAGATGGATAAAACTGATACATTACAGGAAAGAGTGTTTACATGGCAAGAGGATTTATCAGAAGGGTCCATTAAATGGGGAGCTCCCCTAGTGCAATTAAGTAATTTTTTTTAAATTGCTGCTTCATAGGGTGGGAGAAAAGAGGACAAAAATATATAACGCTAAGGTGCTAGGAGTTAACTCCTAATTGCAAGTCAAGTTAAAAAGGCAGTTCAGGCATTTCTGAAATTAGCCTTAGACATAAGGGGAAAGATTATCCAATTTTTAAAAATGTGTTTCACCCCATTTTATCTTTTTTCCCTCTTCACATGAATCTGTAACAGTCAAAGCTAAAGCTGTGCCCTCCCTAACATAAGTCATAATGCCAATTTCAAAACGTCATTTTGTATATGTGTCCAGAGCTGCATTCATAAACAATATGAAAATCTCTGAGCTCCAGCAGCTTACAGACTATTGGAAAGAACAGACGCATAAATAATCTTTTAAAAAACGTGGGGAAAAAAATTGAACAAAGTTCCCCCATGGCAGAGAAAGGAAGTATCTAACTCGCCTGAGGGGAAGTGTGTGGGAGGTGGCTGACCAGAAAACCTCTCTCAACAGGCACGGAAAGGAAGACTCCAGATGTGTGGGTCAACCTCATGGGTTTTCTGTTTTGCTGCCTTGTTCCTGGGTTTGTCTTTCAGTCTGGTCATTTTAAATTGCTGCTTTGCTTGACCTACCTGCGAGAGCCTCTCTTTGAGCTAAGTTTTCAGACGATGGATTTTGGACTCACCTCTGTTTATCCAATCCAAGGTCCCTCAGGGAAATTCAGACAATTTGTTTATAATTCTTAGCTGCTTCCTAAATTTTAGCTCTTAGAAGTTGAAACTAGTGCTAACACATTTTTTTTCTCTTATACAAGGCCTAATAAAGTGCCTTACTTTAGTGTACCACTCAATACCTCTTGGTTGAGTGAATCAATAAAAGATCTTCCAAGCTCAGCATAACCACACGCTTCAAAGAACTTAGCTCTCAGCCAGTCATTGAACTTTCATAAAACTGCTAGCCACTATGGGCCCCAAGAGTGCAAGAATGAATTACCTTTCGGACCATTTGTACAAAGTCCTTGGAGTTCTGAGGTGATAGGCCCTGAAGCTGGCAGGTACATGCTTCAAGGGAAGATGCGTGGGCCACAATCAGAATGTTATTTCCTGGGGAAAAAAAGCAAGGAATAGGAAGACCATTTATATAATGACACATGCGAACTATTTTTTTTTGAGTGGGGGTCTTACTCTGTCACTGAGGCTGGAGTGCAGTGGCATAATCACAGCTCACCACAGCCTCAACCTCCTAGACTCAGGAGATACTTCCACCTTAGCCTACTCAGTAGCTGGGCCAACACACCCAGCTAATTTTTGTATTTTTTGTAAAGATGAGGTCTTGCTTTGTTGCCCAGGTTGGTCTTGAACTCCTGGGCGCAAGCAATCCTCCAAACTCAGCCTCCCAAAGTGCTGGGATTACAGGCATGGACCACTGCACCTGGTAAACTTTGTAAATACTGGAAGCTAAGTGCTCTGGAGAGGGACAAACATACTCAAGAAGACAATTTGACCAAGCAATACTATTTTGAAAGTGGTTTGTTACTGTTAAAGCAGCCTAAAAAAAAAGACAAAAAAACCAAAAAAACTCTTATCTTAAAATAATTATAGGTTTACAGGAGGTCATACACACACACACACACACACACACACACACACACACACACACACACTCACAAATACATGCATACCAGGGAGGTCCCATGTACCCCTCACCCAGCCTCCCCCAGTGGTAACATCTCACATAACTATGTTATGTTATCAAACTCAGGAAGTGGACACTGGTACAATTCACACAGCTTATTCAGACTTTACCAGACATACAGCACTTATTTGTGTGTATGTGGGTATGCAGTTCATGCAATTCCATCATATGTGTAGCTTTGTGTAACCCCTACCACAATCAAGATACAGAACTGTTCTATGTCCATAGGGCTCTCTAATATTATTTTCAATGTTGCCACTGTAGAGTTCTTGAGATGTCCTAGTTGAGAGAACATGCTGTGCACCATTATGGTAGTGAGGGGCTAATGAGTGAAAACTGGAAGGTGGGAGTCATCCATACATCTGTTGTCCAGGGTGATCTACTGTAATATTTTCCTGTATCTAATTCTAGTCTTTGCTCTAAAAAGATAAATAATTTTTTTCTTTTTTTTTGAGTTGGAGTCTCACTCTGTCACCCAGATTGGAGTGCAAGTGTCCGCTCCTGCCACCGCAGCCTCGACCTGCTGGGCTCCAGCGATCCTTCCGCCTCAGCCCTCCAAGTAGCTGGAACTACAGGTGCGCTACCACACCTGGCTAATTTTTTTTTTTTTTTTTATTGTAGCGATGAGGTCTCACCAAGTTGCCCAGGCGGGTCTTGAACCCGCGGGCTCAGGCAATCCACTCACTTCAGCCTCCCAAGGCGCGGGATTACAGGCTGAGCCACCGAGCCCGGCTGAAGATAAATAATTTTAACAACAACAACAAAGAGGATGATGGGAATGTCCATACTCTTTTGTAATCTGCCTTTTTCATTTAAAAATTTATGGTGAGCAGTCTTACATAGCATTCAATACTTGAGTTTGATGTTTAGAAAATTCAATAGCAAACAGACTTGAGCTTTATAGGACATTGCTCTTGGTTGGTGTGTTTATGTACGTGTCTTTGTGTTTGTGTGTCTATGCTACTTGATCAATTAAAGGCAAAACAGTGGTATGCTGAAGAACTTTTGGAAGTTGTAAGAGGGAATCTTTTTACAGGGGACAAGATGCAGAATTTAAGATAATAAGTATAGTAACTAAGTCTGTATACCCCTGGAATATCTTCCATTTTGGATACTTAGAGAGTATTAGCCGTTTAATGTGAAAATAGCTAGAAGAGGGTCTGAAAATTTCTTTCTCATTAAGCAAGTTTGCCGAAGCAGGCTGAAACATCTTGAATAGCCTATTAATCATGACAGAGAAATGATCATATATGGAATCCAAAATAATACCACCTACCTTTACTTTTACATTCACTTATTATTTCTTTTGTTACTTGGAAACTTCTACTGATATAAGTGTCATAAGATTCTGAAACCACTAATTTGCTGACTGGAATGTGAGGTCTGTAATAGAAAAATGAACAAAGGAAATGAAAACATTTTGATCTTGAGACAAAAAAGGCTATAACTTTAAACTACTTTTATTTCAAGACTTTTCTAAAGTTTATCTTGGTTTTGAGACTTTTCTAAAGTTCCCATACATCTGTTTATACATTTTCTAGAAATGAAACTACTGTTCCATTATATGGACATGGGGTCGAAATGTACAGAAATGTCAGAAGCTGTCCAGTGTGGAGAAATGTACAGAAATAAAGACTCTGTGTATAGTGTCACAATGACCAATTGAAAAATGAGACATTCACTGCATGTTTCACCCACAGGATAACACCTAAGAGGTTTATTGATGGCCCTAGTCACATAGCTCACAGAAAGCAAAGGAGAGATTAGACCTCTCTACCTATTTAGATCAGCAGGAATCTCCCAAGCCTCTCTTCAGGAGCCTTATACACGATAAGCTGCAAAGATAGATTTTTAAAAGCAGACATTAGGTCCATCTGATTTGTGAGCTTATAACATTTTAGCCAGTCTTTTTCTTTTCCTCTAATTTTGAACACAGAACATATATCTGGTGCTAGAAGAAGCCGAGGGAACATAAAGATGAAGGGAACCCAGTTTCTTTTTTTTTTGAGTTAGAATCTCACTCTGTCCCAGGCTGGAGTGCAGTGGCACACTCATGGCCACTGCAGCTTCAACGTGCTAGGCTCAGGCGATCCTTCCGCTTCAGCCTTCCAAGTAGCTGGAACTATAGGTGTGCACCACCATGCCCAACTAATTTTTTGATTTATTGTAGAGACGAAGTCTTGCCAAGTTGCCCAGGCTGGACACCTTCCACATTGGACAGCTTCTTGCCTATGGGTTCAGACAATTCTCTTGCCTTAGCCTCCCAAAGTGCTGGGATTACAGGCATGAGCCACATACCCAGTGGGAATCCAATTTCTGTGCTTGAAGAGCTCTCTGTGGATGGGGTGAGGAGGTTATTAATGTAAATGATAATTATGACACAATCTCCAAAGGTGTTTACCAGGATGATCAAAGCAGAGCCTTCTGTCCTGTGACCCTGAACATCTTCAAACCCGGTTACTGATGCCCACAGAGCCTGCCTCTGCCTTCCTCCACTCCCTTTAACTATTTAGAATCCCTATGTTGTTTCTGGTCCATGAGATGTTTATCTTGGTTTTGAGTACAACTGTGTCATTTCACTTTTCTATTTTTGTATTTTGTCTTTTCTTTTTTTTGAGTTGGAGTCTCACTCCATCACCCACACTGGAGTGCAGTGGCACACTCACATCCACCCCAGTATTGACCTGCTGGGCTCAGGGGATCCTTCTGCCTCAGCCTTCCAAGTAGCCTGAACTGCAGGCGCGTGCTACCATGCCCGGCTGATTTTTTATTTATTGTAGAGATGAGATCTCACCAAGTTGCCCAGGCTGGTCTTGAACCTTGGGCTCAAGCGATTCACTCGGCTCGACCTCCCAAAGTGCTGGGATTACAACTGAGCCACCGAGCCCAGCCATATTTTCTTTTTCTTTTTTTGAGTTGGAGTCTCACTCTGTCACCCAGACTGGAGTGCGGTGGCCGTTCCACATCAGCCGCTGCAACCTCAACCTCAGCCACCGCAACCTCAACCTCAGCCACTGCAACCTCAACCTGCTGGGCTTCGGCGATTCTTCCACCTCAGCCTTCCAAGTAGCTGGAACTACAGGCATGCGCTACCACGCCCGGCTATATTTTGATTTACTGTAGAGATGAGGTCTCACCAAGTTGCCAAGGCGGGTCTTGAACCCATGGGCTCAGGCTATCCACTCACCTCAGCCTCCCAAAGCAAGGGATTACAGGCTGAGCCACCGAGCCTAGCCATATTTTGTTTTTCAGTGCTGGGTGCTTAGTGCATGGTGGAGGTGGTGGTAAATTTTCAAAGTGAATTCACATGACATCTTAATTAGAATATATGACTACTGCTACTGTTAGTACTAAAAATATTAACTGGCCAGGTGTGGTAGCTCAAGCCTGTAATCCCAGTACTTTGGGAGGCCCAGGCAAGAGGATTGACTGAGCCCAGGTGTTCAAGACCAGGTTGGGCAAGTTGGTGAGACCTTGTCTCTACAATATATAAAAAAAATTAGCTGGGTGTGGTAGTGCACACTTTTAGTTCCAGCTACATGGAAGGCTGAGGTGGAAGAATCACTTGAGCCCAGCAGGTTGAGGCTGTGGTACCCATAACTGTGCCACCGCACTCCAGCCTGGATGACAGAATGAGACTCCAACTCAGAAAAAAAAATTACTGAGAGGTTTCCAGGTATCAGACCCTGTGCAAGTGCCCTACCTGCATTCTAATATTATAATCCTCCCAGCAACCCTTTCATAAACCCTGAATTTATGGACGACAAAACAGAAGCTCAGAAAGGCTGTAGCTGACTTGCCTACACTCACACTGTTAGCAACTCTTAGAGGCTGGACTTGTACTTGGGTCTGAGATCTGCCTCATCCTCCACATCGGACAGCTTCTGACATTGTTCTCTTTAAGGCTGCCCTCTGTGCATGTGGGCTTACTGTCCAGAGAGGGATGCCGTTCCATTTGAAGGACACTTGTCCTTATCTAGCATCCTCTCAGCGTGCATGTTTCTCCCAGGAAACAGCCTTCTGAATCTCACAACACCCTGAAGGAAAAGTAGAGGCATGAATCACCACTTGGTAGGTCTGTACCTCATTGTTCTGGAGCAAATTCCTTCTTCCCTCTTCCCTCCCCATCCCTGCCAGTTCCACTTCCATTTATACCACCTGGTCTCCCAGGTCATTCCTCTATTACATAACAAAAGGCCACTTTGTATGAGAGTCATTTCAAGAGTGAGACCACACTGTAATGTGTGAGATCTATGTGAGTGAAGAATGGCATAGATGCTGGAATTTAATTCCTCCTGGCGAGTTTGTCTTTGGCTTCTCTCAGTATCCTGAAGTTGAACCTAAGAATGGCTCCAGGGTCTGACCAGCCCTGACGGGCATGGGACACAGCCGAAGCTTTCTTGCTGTTGTCAGAGGACTTGTCATGCTGTTGGCCACACTTGCAGAGCCCTTGTGCTGTCTTCAGAATCAGGTGGGCTTTCTACCACCCACTAGGCCTAGAACCCAGTGCTCTGGGTCCTCAGGTGGCATCCCCCGGAACAGTATCCTCCCTGATATATACTCCACTCCCATCCTGCTTTGCTCCAGGCTGTAGTGCATGCTCTGCCTTGAACCCACACCAAAGTTGATTTCTTGTCTGTCAAATGCTCTGGATCCATGCCCTTCCCCAGTTCCCTACCTCCTGGTCAGGACCCTATCCTGAAGCCCAACTCATCTGGTGTGTATTTTGTTTTTCTGCCTTGCTCCTTCTGGCCCAGCTACCCAAGACTGGAACTGCTTTCTATCCTTCGTCTCTAGGTTGGTCTTGCTGCCTGTGTATGAAGCTTAAATATTACTCACTAGCCTGGCTGGTTTCCCTACTTTGGCTCCAGTCCCAGCACCCTTCTGTTTTCTGCTCACCCCTATTGCAAGGTGATAGGACTCTTTGAGCAGAGCTTGCCTGACTCATACTACCCTGGATCTCAGGGCTTGCCCTTCTACCTGCCATCATGTGTCTTCAATCATTCCCCCACTCCCAACCAGCTTCTTCTTCTTTTTTTTTTTTTTGAGTTGGAGTCTCACTCTGTTGCCCAGACTGGAGTGCAGTGGCCGCTCCCGGCCACCGTAGCCTCATCCTGCTGGGCTCCGGCGATCCTTCCACCTCAGCCTTCCAAGTAGCCGGAATTATAGGCATGCACTACCACGCCCGGCTGATTTTTTGATTTATTGTAGAGATGAGGTCTCGCTGTCCAGGCGGGTCTCGAACCCGCGGGCTCAGGCAATCCACTCACCTCAGCCTCCCAAAGGTGCGGGATTACAGGCTGAGCCACTGAGCCCGGCCCAACCAGCTTCTTGCTTCAAAAGGCCTGTTCTTTTGGCATCATTAATTTCATAGGACTGTCTACATGCTTTAACTTCGGCTTTCTCAACTGAGTTTGAGTTTCTCAAACTCAATTAGTGGTTTCATCTCCTTCTCCAACTCCCTCATCAAACAGAAAATGGTTAAATTGAATTCTTTTTTTTTTTTTTTTTGAGTTGAGGTCTCACTGTTGCCTAGGCTGGAGTGCAGTGGCACAATCATGGCTCACCACAGCCCTTGACCTCCTGGGTTCAAGTGATTCTTCCACCTGAGTGGCTGGGACTAAATGTGTATACCACCATGCCTGGTTTAACAAAAAAAATTTTTTATAGAGACAGGGTCTTGCTATGTAGCCCAGGTTGGTCTCAAACTTCTGGGCTCAAATGATCCTCCTGCATTGGCCTCCCAAAATGCAGGGATTTCAGGTGTGAGCCACTGAGCACAGTTGGTTGAATTGAATTTTGATTTTCTAGAGCGGGGAAAAGAAAATCTGGAATAAGAACTGTGTCCTAGCCAGGCTTGGTGGCTCAGCCTGTAATCCCGCACTTTGAGAGGCTGAGGGGAGTGGACTGCCTGAGCCCGCGGGTTCAAGACCCACCTGGGCAACTTGGTGAGACCTCATCTCTACAATAAATAAAAAAATTAGCAGGGCATGGTAGCGCGCGCCTGTAGTTCCAGCTACTTGGAAGGCTGAGACGGAAGGATCACCAGAGCCCAGCAGGTCGAGGCTGTGGTGGCCGGGAGCGGCCACTGCACTCCAGTCTGGGCGACAGAATGAGACTCCAACTCAAAAAAAAAAAAAAAAAAAAGAACTGTGTCCTGACCCCCAGGTTTCCAACACTCATCCTTGCATTGCTGGTAGGGTGTATATTTATGTGCACATTGAAAGGCTTAGCTAGATGAATTCTGGAGACCTTTGTAAGTCAGCTTGGAAAGCACTGCAGAGTGTATCTAAGGGGGAAACTGAAGACTGAGTTGGCCCAAGTTGGCCTGGGTGGGGCTGGTAGTGAGTAATGAAAAGCACTTCACCAATGTTGGCAGCAACACCCTTCTTTCTAGGCCAGAGGGATGATGGCTGTTGGCATGGGAACAACAACTTATTGCTGTTTGTCTGCAAAGAACAAAAAAATAGTGGCTGGAGAGGGGACAGAACAAAATGTGAACTGTATTAGTAGGAGATTCTATTGATTGATCTAATTTTATTTTTGAAGAATGTTAATTCCTTTAAGACAAGAAGAAGTAGCACATAAATAATTAATGAAGTTATCTAAGGTCTTCTTTGCTGAGCAGAAAAATGAGTATGGACAAAAAGGTATTCTCTCCTACCTTATTGCTTTATTTGTGGTTTGAGCAGGTATTTGAAATGAAAGGTCAACAGATAACGCAAGAAAGAAAGTTCTGCTTATATTAACCCCTTGTTCCAAATTCTGCCCTAAGAAATATAAACTTAATTCTCCACTGTAATAGTTGTGACTATCTGTTCTTTCTCAAAGAGATTTTGCAAATGCCTGAGTGGATTTTTAATAGTTAACACAACTATATTATTATTGATTAATTCTTAATTATGCACATATGGATTATTCACCTGTGAGTAATCTACAAATACTACAAATCTACAGTACAAACAGTTGGGTAATGGAAAAAACAAAGGAACAAGAATGAGACAACTAATTGTATAGCAGAATACACAGTGCTTGATATGTAGAAAGTTATTAATAAAGGTTATGTTATTGTTATTATTATGGGTAATCACCAAATGTTTGTATAACTTTAGATGAGCTACTTGAACTCTCTCATATATAAAAGTGGCTTGTCTACATTCTGAGGTTATAGCAATAATAAATGAGGATAATAAAGAGAATTAATAATGCTTTGAGGCCAGGCATGGTGGCTCATGCCTATAATCCCAGCACTTTGGGAGGTGGAGGCAAGAAGATTGCCTGAGCCCAAGGGCTCGAGACCAGGTTGGGCATCTTGGCAAGACCTCATCTCTACAATAAATTTAAAAATTAGCCAGGCATGGAGGGGCATGTCTGTAATTCCAGCTACTTATGAGGCTGAGGTGGAAGGATCACTTGAGCCCAGCTGATCGATGCAGTGGTAGCCATGATTGTACCACTGCACTGCAGCCTGGATGACACAGTGAGACTCTGATTAAAAAAAAAAAAAATCGGCAACCCCCTCGGGTCCCCTCCCACTATGGGAGCTTTTCTGTTCTCTCAATAAATCCTGCTTTCTAAAAAAATTAAAATAAAATTTTAAAAATGTGAAAATTTAAGGCAAGACATTGTCATCTCCCTTACCTCCCAACAAACTTCTCAACCACGTCATCATTAGCTAGTGTTTATTCTTGGAAAGCAAAATGGTTTTATTAGTACACTGAAATACACATATAATAAAGTCAGAAAAATCCATCCTGGGGGGTGGGGGTGGGAATCTAATTGACACTAATGCCAAATACTAAGCGGTGTTGGCTTTTCTCTAACTTTGGCTTCTCAATTCATAGCTTGACTTCCACTAACCCGGACAACTGCCTGTAGGCAATATCTGACCCCTCCTCTCTTTAATGAGCCTGTCCTGGTGCTAGTGCGGACAATATTGCCACACTGGCCACAGGAAGAGCAGTTTCTGAGGCTTACCTGTAGGTTGTATCCACACTCAGGTTGGCTGCGGCTAACTCTGATGGAGGTATCCATGCAGGTAACGTGTTCCCAGCGACCCATTTTGTCCACTCAAATAAGCCAGGCTCTACACGGATCTTCAAGTGATTTTCTTGTTGTAAACCTTATAGGTAAAATAAAGATAAAGGAGGTACTGCTGTGTTCTCAGTGGAAAAATAATTTCTAGGTCAAATTGTTACAAAAATCCAGATATATCAGCTCTTCTCTTTCTAATGGCTGAAGGGAAGTGGTGACATATGGGTTTGGACAAGAGTTTTTAATTTTTGTATATTACAAATACATGAGTTTAATACTCTTGCCATCCCAGGATATATGCTGGTTTTAAGGGGTGTCTGGTTTAAGGAAAAAAAACCAAAACCCATGAGTCATTATCCAGATAATTTATTCAATTATGTGACTATTATAATTTCTTTTTCTAAAGTAAATTCCATGATTGAGACTTACTAAGAAACTTCAGATATTCATTTAGCTTCCACTATTTTACAATAGCTTACGTTATATTTGAATAGCATGTAAATCATTTATTTTCTCTATTAGAAAATCTAATGTTGAATATTTACAAGTAGCAATGCACAAGTCTGTGTTTTATCATAGTGGAATGACCCTCAGAGTAGCTTAGCTCTGTTTTGCATTTAGTCCAATTTTTTCTGTGCAAATTTAATATATAAATGCCTTCTGAAAGTAAAGAGAAGATTTATTTAAGGTTAAAGAATAGAAGACTCAAATATAGTGTCAAATTCTTTGTTGTCTTGTCTATTTCTTATTCTTTCTTTGGTGTCAGTAAATAGTCTAACTCTGTTTCTTTACGTTTTCCTTCTCATGAGGTGAGAATGGTTATACCTGTAACTCACACTTCCACAGACTTTAGGATGAAAGTGCTATACATTCCTTGCTATACATTACAGATTCAAACCTTTCAATTGGCTAATATTTCTTGACTTTATGATAATTTAGGTATGGGGCTGCCTAGAAAATTGGACTAACTGACTCTTGTCAACCTAAGAGCCTTACCTTTCAAGATATTGTGTGCGGTTTGAACACAGCGTAGGGATGGGGAACAATAGACGTGATCAATAATGGTGTTACTTTCTAGTAAGGCTTCACCTGTAAAGAAAATCAAAGAAGAATCAGCCTGGGCTGGGTATGGTGGCTCATGCCTGTAATCCCAGCACTTTGGGAGGCTGAGGAGGGAGGACTGCTTGAGCTCAGGGGTATGAGACCAATCTAGGCATCATAGCAAGACCTCGTCTCTACAAAAAATTAGTTGGGCATGGTGGCATGTGCCTGTAGTCCCTGCTGCTTGGGAGGCTGAGATGGGAGGATTGCTTGAGCCCAGGAGTTTGAAGTTGCAGTGAGCTCTGATCATGTCACTGCACTCCGGTCTGGGAAAGAGAGTGAAATACTGACTCAAAAAAAAAAAAAAATCAGTCTAACGGGTTTACTCAGCCTCAGTCAATGTGAGGGGATGCCAAGCAGACCCTGTAAGCCCCTCTTTCCTAGTTAGACTCATGAAGAGCCAATAGTTCCACCCTTGTTTCTAACAAGTCCCCTCATCAGTGTTCCTAGGCGAGAGGGCAAGCGACAGCCCTTCTTGTTTTTCTCTCCTTCTCTCTGGTGCTAACAAGTGGTACAGCATATATCCAGGAATGATTTAGAAACAGAATAATGCTCTGACTTCAAGTTTGTGGTACCAGCCTGGGAAACTTGGCGACACCTCATCTCTACAATAAATAAAAAAAATTAGCTGGGAGCGGTGGCGCATGCCTATAATTTCAGTTACTTGGAAGGCTGAGGTAGAAGGATCACCTGAGTCTGGCAGGTCAAGGCTGTGGTGACCGTAAACATGCCACTGCACTCCAGCCTGGGCAACAGAGTACAACTCAAAAAAAAAAGTTTGTGGTAGAGGCAAGAGGATTTATACTGTGAAAATTAGGACTTGCTTTAATTATATTCTATGCTAACCAAAATCTCCACTTGTCATATTCTTGGACATTGGAGATGAATCCCAACTCCCAATCCTTTACTGTTTTTCTCATGGAATCCACTGCTTGTCTCTACTGGATAAAGTCCAAACACCTTACTATAATTGTTGAGGTCTTCTGTGACCTTGTCTTTAGCCATCTTGCCAGCTTTATCTCACCCCCAAGCGACTTATTTTGCTTCATGATGTATGCTCTAGAAACAAGACAGCTTGTTTCCCCTGCACTCTTTCTTGAGGCGGTTTCTCACTTCTAAGACTTAGTCATCCTTCTCACTGAGAATGTCCTTCCCTCCCCTCCTGTTCCTTCTTCTCCCAGCTAACTTCCTCCTCAGCCCCCTCTCTTCTCCTCTTGGATGTCTTTTTTTGTGTTCCCATAATGCTCTGTGCACAGCTCTTTTGATAAGTATACCATATTGTATATTTATCCACACATATGACAGGGACCCCCCCCAAAAAAACCCCAGAATTATTTTTTGGAGGGCAGGTCCCTTGTAGTACAGGCCTCCTCTACTAGGTAAGTGTTCTAGGAATCCATCAGCATCAGTGTACTAACTAGGGTTGTTGTGAGAGGTCGCGTTTGGCTTCAGTGAATTTTTTTTTTTTTGTGGTTGAGATTCTTTAAACGTATTTGCCTATTTCATGATGAGTGATTTACACGAACAACCTGCCCACCCTGGGCTGAGTGTTCAGCAGTTTTTGACCAAAAAACGGCATGACCCTCATGCCGCACCCTCCCTATTCACCCGATCCCACCCCCAAGTGACTTATTTTGGTTTCCCCATGATGAAAAAAGTCTTCAAAGAGAAACATTTTGCCGTTGTGAAAGACTTGATACAAAAAACGGCAGAAGCACTAAAAGGCATCAAAATTGATGAGTTCAAACACTGTTGTGAGTAGTGGAAAAAGCATCCTGATCAAGTGTACTGTATCAAATGGAGAGTACTTTTAAGGTGACTGAAGGTTAAACATGTAAGAACAAATACAGCATTTTTTAATAAATAAATTCCAGGTTTTTTTGTGTCTCTCTCGTAAGTTTGTTTTGCTGAAACTAACAGTTGGGTCCCCAACACCTAGCCCAATACCTTGCAGAAAGTAAGTGATCAATAAATATCTGGTAAATGAATAGGACAAGGTACTATCTCTGCATGGCAGTTATGCAGAGGGCTTGCAAAGAACTGGGCATCTTCAAATTGTCAGTTGGTCTCTATAAATTTAGCAACTTCAAGGGATCCCTCCTGCTCACTCGTGCCTTCTCACAGCCATGCCGGCAGGTGCTACTGTCTTGAACAAGAAGCTGACCTGTCTGCTACACTAGTGACTTATGTAACCCAATCCTGACTGTCCCCATTGACTGAATCACACACTCCTCATATAGGGACCACATTTTGTTCACTTTGCTAAGCCAACCCAGTGCTGAGCCCAGCATCTTGAACTTAACGGTTGTGTAATACATTCCTTTGAATCGAGGAAATACATTACTTGTAGGAAAGTTATAGAAACTTTCAGGAAGTATCCTACATACCTACTGGTACCAGTCATTTGAAGAAGGAACCAGGAAATGCTGTACAGCCACTTCCGGGCACTTACCCACGAGTCTCGCTTGCATACATCCAAACACAGTGATTGGAGCATCTTTCTCATAATCCCGGAAACCACCACTCCGCTGAGGTAAGCTATGAGGCATGTTCAGGTTGGTGCGTATGTAGCGGCCTGGGCAAAAAGAATCATACAAAGGCTACATGAGTTGCTTGTTTCCTTGGTACCTCTCTTTGCCCAGACACTCTGCCCACCCCCTTACTTCTTGGCTAAAGAGACCATTGAGCTCTCTGGAGTTGATGGAAAGTGTCTGACACCTTCTTCAGTAGAGGGACTTGGAATCCACTCATTCTGCTGACAAGAGTGACAAGAGATAGTTTCTAAGTTAAAGTAATAACCAGATACTCTAAAGCAGATGGGATTCTCTGATTAGGCAAGCCTCCCTATCTTAAAATGCCACTCAAATGAAAATGGAACTGAATGAGCCAGGGGGATTGAATTGAGGGAATTCTGGCCATGGCATCAGGACATGTCTCTTCTGGTGACTTTGCCATATGACCCTAGGCAAGACATCTGCCATTTTTAAACCCTGGTGCTCCAGTTTATAGAACGGGGACAAGAATATTTACTTCTTCCCTGAAACTCAAGACAATGAGGAAGGACTTACAGACAACAGGAATTTTCTGTAGCACACAAACTATAAATGACTCCATTTGGATAAATGTAGCTTGACTGTGCCCCCAAGAGGCCACAATTGGAATGTCATTGCTAAGCTGACCCACCAACTACTCACCTTTGGCATCAAAGCACTGGGATAGCCAGTACTTCCCAAATACAACATCCATCCTCTCACCGTGCCGACACACGAAGAGGCATCGCTTTTGAGGGCCAGGCTGGCTGTTGACCCTCAGGGGCTGCAGAGAAAGAAAGGGTATTAGTAGGGCAACGTACAGCAAAGTAGACATGTCCTGGAGCCAGGTGCCAGGTGAGCTGAGCTCTAGCACAAATTGATTAAGGTATGACTTGTATAAGCCTCTTAACTGTCTTGGATTTAGGTCGGTCTATCTGTAAAACCAGGATAGTAAGACTCATCCTACAGGCCTTGCAAGTCGCAAATGAGATACACTGCAGGTGCTTTGTAAAATCGGAAGGGTTATGAAAATGGCATTATCATTGCTGTGGATGCTGTTGTTATTAGACTTAGCATTTGGCAATTCTTAAAACATGAAGTCCACTTGAAGTTACAACTCTGAGGCAAAACTCGTCATTCATGTAGAGATAGCCCTTTAGTGGATCAGCTTGCTCCCCAAAAGAGATGCGTCATCATTTTCAGCAGGAAGTGAGGTCCAAAGCAAGTCCAAATGTGTCTGCCTCATTTCTAAAGTGTGATGGTCAGACCACAGGGGCCTTGTCGTCCTGCTCCAGCAGTGAGGTCCTATTTTGCCAGTTCCGATCACCGTGTAAGGTCTGCTGTCTGACTATATACGCGTGGTGATCCCAGAAATAATTCAGGGAGGACAACTTCTGCCTCTGGGTGATGAAACAGGCGAATCTAGCCAAAGCCATGTCCAAATGACTTTGGTTTCCATATGTGCTGGCTGGAGCCTTGTAGGTGTGTCTCCATTTCTTCTTTGTGATCTAGCGGGCTGTTTCCATTTTCCTTAGTGCTGCTGGGTGCATGCTGGCCAACAATTTATACTTGCTTCTAGTTGCCCTGACAAGGTCAATATGTGGGATGGTGGCATGGTCTTTTCCAACTCTTTTTCTACTGTTCCCTAATTCAAATCCTGGTCTTCAGCCAAAGGGGTCTATTCCCTGATCCTCAACATGTCTGAACTTTCATTTTGACTTCATTTGTACTGTTCAACAACTACTCCCCGCTTCTTCTCATCTCCAGCTTTTCTTGGAAAAGCTAACAAATACTGAGCACTCACTATAGGCCGGTTATTCAGCTAAGAGCCTAGTTTATTATTTTCTTTAATCTTTACAATAACCTACAAAAGAGATACAACTATGGTATTAGTCCTGTGTTAGGGATGAAATCTCCTCCTCCTCTCTCTGTGGAACAACCTTTACTAGCCTAGACTCAAGTGCTAGTAGTCATTGTCAGAACCATTCACCTGACTCTTCCTATCCTTGAACTTCTGTATATCTTTTGTAACCGTGTGTACTTTCTCCCCAAGAGACTGGGGCCCCTTTGAAGGCAGCAAAGACAATGCCTCATACTTGAGAAATAGGTGCTCAGTGAATCCTGATTCGAGTTGAGGATGTGACCCTAATGATCAGCCTTACCTGCATGGGCTGGCAGATGATAGTAAGGGGTGTCGTCTCCCCTAGTCCCTGGTCCTCATACTGCCGCCTCTCCAATACTCCATCACCAAATGTGAGAGAGTTGGACGTATTTAAGATCGAGTAAGATCTGCAGAGGAAGATAAGGGAGATGTTAACTGCTTTGGCCAGGAGTCATCAGCACTTCATTCTGGGGCTCAGCAGGAGTGTGGGAATTAGCAGAGAAACACTAACTGGGGAGTACAATAGTTGCGAAAGCAGAGCAGGGAGCACCCTTCCTGGGGAGGAATATTTTTTTCTATGCTGAAGTCTTGCAGTTAATAAATTAGGGGCAGATAGATTTCTGTACTGAAGGCAGATGTATTCACCCCTTTGGGCAAGATTGGACCCAGTGACTCTGTGCCTATTGGGATGTCACAGACATGGTTGGCACCAAAGGCAAGCTAAAGAATAATAAGGTATTAATTATGTACCATTGTACATAATTAATTGTACAAAAGAAATAGTCTCTGTTGCCTTTAATGTTTTCCATAATAATTTTCATCTGAAGTGAAGTATGAGTGGGTATTGTTACCATCTCCACCACTTTGCCTGTGGCTCTTTTTTTTTTTTGAGTCAGAGTCTTACTCTGTCGCCCAGGCTGGGGTGCAGTGGCATTCTCACAGCCACCGCAGCCCCAACCTGCTGGGCTCAGGTGATCCTTCCACTTCAGCCTTCCAAGTAGTTGGAACCACAGGCATATACCACCATGTCTGGCTATTTTTTTTTGATTTACTGTAAAGACAAGGTCTCGCCCTGTTGCTCAGGCTGGTCTTGAACCCCTGAGCTCAGGCAATCCTCTCACCTTTGCCTCCCAAAGTGCTGGGATTACAGGTATGAGCCACTGCTCTCGGTGTCTGTGGCTCTTAAGGGTTAAAGATCGCCATGGTCAGAATCCCCTATTCCACCCTTTTCAGTCTTCAAGCCCTGTGCCTTCCTCAGTGACACCTCCAACAAGATGATTAAAGACAGAATTATGTCAGAGGAGGCCATTCTCACCAGATGTTTAGAGCTGTAAGCCAAGAACTCTCATTTCTGAGTGTAACACTGTAACTACAGAAGCTCAGCAGAGTTCCTGCTGAAAGGAAGACCGTTAAAACATGCCAGGTTTAAATTACTGTGACTAGTAAGGCTTCTGCAAAGCTTTATCTAATAAACACTGCTATTTAGATATGGTTGTTAGGCAAATCCAACAAACATCTCCTGTATTACTTTGTAGAGTCAAGGGGAAACATTTACATTTTAGATTTCTTGCTTGCTTACAACCTGCGAAGCCATTGGTCCCAGTCTGCCCAGTTATAGGGCGGGCTTGTGTCTGTCGATCCAGCAATCTGGGTTTAGCACTTGTTCTCGAGTATTCATTTTTAACACAGTATTATTACTAGAGTTTTATTTTTGAAAATAACTTTTCATATTCATCAGTATTATAAACCTAATTAGGTGCTGTTAATCTTTTTCAAAAACTTACATGATTTTAATATTTTAGCATTCTTTCTGCTCTCAGAAATGCTCCTCCTCTCCCTTATTTTTTTGATTTTTACTATAAATGACATGGTTATTCTACTTATAAACAAAGGTCTCAGAAGCCCTATAACCTGAAAAAGTGATCTTCAGCTCTTGTTCATATCAGAATCACCAAGGGACTTTAAAAAATATATTCAGGCCTGGTCCCTTCTCCTCACAAATGGGGACCCAGTAGGTCAGGGGAGGGGCCTAGGAACCTACAATTGAACAAAGCTGCATCAGTATATCTGATGTGTAGCCCAATGAAACCTATTATAGTAAAATTTAAGTACCCGTGGCTCAAGGAAATCTTGTGTCATTTACACAGTCTAATAGAGCAGGCATTCTACTTTATTTTAGACTGAGACCCTTCCAAACATCCCACAGATTAAGAAAATTCAGCTTTGCTGTCTGAGGCATCAAAGCTTCAGGGCTGAAATGTTTGATTATCTGCAATCATTCTGACATCCTGCTTGTACATATCTGTTCATTACTTTATTGCAGCTGTGAAGACATGGAAGGGATCCCTACTCTACCTCCTTCAGCTCAAATGGCAAGGAGAATGGCAGCCTCCTTTCCTTCTTAACTGTCATTGCAATCAAAGGACCTGATTCACTCTGAGGCAGCTAGGGGCTGACAGTTCCAGTAAGACAATAGTCAGAGATGCTGCATGCTGAGAGCAGCATAAGGGAGGAAGTCAGGCCTGACACCCAGAACATTATCTCAAGCACCGGGGGAGATGCTGGCTCCTCTCTGGATCATACTAGGCTCCTCCCTGGAACACACTGGGCCTGTGATAAGCCCAGAAAAGCCCGGTGGCTCACTCTCTTCGATGGACACAATGGGGCTTCATCATCTTCATGACAAATACCTAGGAATACTCACAACCAGCCAAGACGCTCCAGGAAGGGTGGTGAGAAAATATTTTCTCAGGAAGAACTCAGAGAACTGGGAAGTACAGGACAGGGAGTGTTGTGAAAGTTCACTGACCCAAGTCCCTACCTGTTGCCTGGTTCTCCTCAGCAACTTCCCATTGAGCTTCCAGGTCATGCTTGAGCCTCCCCTTTGGGCTCTATCTCCTGGAGCCTGTCTTTGGTTAGGGGCGAAAGGAGGTCTATCTTACAGAGAAGCTGAACCCTGTGTTATAGTCTTCACAACAACCTTAGGAGAGGTCAGTGCAATTATCAGCTCCATTTTCTTTCTTTTTTTTTTTAAGTCAGAGTCTTATTCTGTTGCCCAGACTGGTCTCAAACCCTGGGTTCAGGCAACCCTCTCACCTCTGTCTCCCAAAGTGCTGGGATTACAGGTGTGAATCACTGTGCTTGGCTTATCAGCTCCATTTTCTAGATGAGCAAACAGAGGCTCAGTGAAGTGATGCGATTTGGTCAAGATCACACAGCTGGTAAGTGGGAGAGTTAGGCTTTGAATCAGAGACTATTGGAATCAAAACCTGAATTCTTAATTATAGAGTGTTAATGCCTAATGTGAGTATTTCCTCACTCTCAGCAGGGTTGGCTGTGGAAGCTGATAGTTTATTGCCAGACATGGTTCCCAGGGAAGTCACATCACTAGTAATCTTTCAAAATAAAAGATGACACATAGGCTTCCCTGGGATCCACTGACTGGAGTCATCTAGGTTCACCCATACTTTAAGAGCCTGGGCTCTCATTTAGAGTGGAGTGGGTTTAGATGGAGTGATCTTAAACGAGTCAGCAGGGTTTCTCATGTGCTCTCTTCTCCCACGAGGAGGCCCAATTTTAAGAAAGAGATCTGATCAGGCAGCAACTCAGAGTACTATAAAATAAAAGACATCTGAGAACTGCTTTATCAGGCAAATGATTTCTTAGTTCTCAGCTGTTTCATGTATACTTTGCTTTATTTGTTTTTATAGGGATAAAATGACGACTTTGAAAACCCAATTTATGGGCCACGCACAGTGGCTCACGTCTTATAATCCCAGCACTTTGGGAGGCCCAGGTGAGAGACTTCCCTGAGTTCAGGAGTTCAGGACCAACCTGGGCAACACGGCAAGACCTTGTCTTTATAATAAATCAAAGAATTAGCTAGGCATGGTGGCATGTGCCTGGAGTCCTGGTTACTTGGAAGGCTGAGGTGGAAGGATTGTGAGCCCAGCAGGTTGAGGCTGCAGAAGCTGTGAGTGTGCCATTGCTCTCCAGTCTGGGCAATGGAGTGAAACTCCACCTCATAAAAAGAAAACCCTAAAAAAAAAAATGGAATCATTAAAAAAAATAAAGCCCAGCTAACGTGTTTTGATCTTCAGAAACATTTCTGACAAAGCAAACATTTGGGAAACATGAGGCAGCTTTGACCCTCAAATTTTACACCATCCAACACTGGAGGCTCATGGGCTGGAGTGGAGGGGTGGAATGAGGGAGAGGAAGGGATTCGGGGTGGGAGTCATGAAGGAGAAAACATTCTTTCCTGTCTTTGGGTTTGGTTTGTCTGCTCACTTTCTTCTGTCTCTCCAGGTAAAACACTTGCTGAAATCACCCCTTTCTGCTTCTGCTTCATGGCACTGATAATAACGTTAGCCACCAAGCAGCTGGTGCTCAGGGCTTCTGCTTCTCAGTCATGTTGCCACATGGCAAAAACAAGAGGGAGGAAAAGCAAACCAGCATGCATACCTGGCTCGATGCCCAAGTATGCTGGCTTTGAGCGCTTGGATTAAGAAAGAGAAGGTGCCTTTTGTTGCAATTTTCTCCACTGGGACAAAGCTGGCCAGACAACACAGGTTGCTCTGAACATGGGATCAGTATGGAATGAGGGAAAAGCAGTAGTGAGGAATGAGTGGAGAGTTACCACTCTAAAGAATACTTAGAGCCGGGCACGGTGACTCATGCCTGTCATCTCAGCACTTTGGGAAGCTGAGGTGGGAGGATCATTTAAATCCAGGAGTTCAAGACCAACCTGGGTAACATCGCAAGACCCTTTCTCTACAAAAATAAAAAAATAAGTTGGGCATGGTGGTGCACACCTGTAGTCCCAGCTACTAAGGAGGTTGAGTCAAAAGGATCACCTAAGCTCAGGAAGTCAAGGCTGTGGTGAGCTGTGAGTGTGCCACTGTATACTTGGCAACAGAGTGAGATTCCAACTCAAAAAATAAAGAATACTTAAGGGGGGGGGTAAATGTATCCTTTTTAGTTCTGAATGTTGCCCATTACCTTAGACACAGTCTGTTGTTTGGGCACGCATGTGCCACATTTGAGGACTGCTCATGGTCATGTAGCACGTGAGGGTACAGTTAAGCCTCCTGAAACCCCTTTACCTACTGGTCTGCCTAGTGTAGCAGGAATCTGCCCAGCTGATCTGAGGAGTCAGACCACCCCGAATAAAGACATGGATAGAAACCTTAACACAGTGAAGACACAGCACTGGGAAGATGCTACCCTTCAGCCAGAAGAGATGGACCCTCAAACAGTCTCAGTTTGGTCTGCTATCAGGAACTCAGGCAGTTAGCTACATTAAATAGGACAGGCAGAGTGAAGCAGAACAATCCATTTTGCATTTTTCCAATGCCTCAAGTCAGCTCATTTCCTGGAAGTCTAGACGCCATGGAGCCGTCTTCCCCATGCACTCCAATCAAGTCCATTTCCCTGCCACCTCTTCAAAGTCTGCAGCAGCAACGTTCTTCAATAAACAGCAGGCAAAGGCCTTTGTGTCTGCTTACCCATGAAATATCCAGGTGCTGCATTCGTCAGCCTTGGTAATGTAATTCTCAGGCAGGAGTCCAGAACAGCCGGTGGTTAAGGACGTGCCATAGATCCATCCCTCACTGGTGCTGGTCTGCTCCATTGGAGACATGAAGATAAAGTCCCCAGGGACCAGCTCCAGCTCATCATCATTTTGTGGGGTGTAGGGGTAGATCACCTGCAATGTCTGAAAAGGGAAGAGAGGATAATCTTTTGAGTGCCTTGAGGGTGGGACTGCATACCTCCAGAAGCTGCCATGTCCAGGAGCCCCTGAGGTCTGCAGACTCCGAGTAGATCTGGATTCCAATCAGAGAGCATTTCTCTCTTCAGGGCAGGGTGGGTATGTGTCCAGTGCTATGGATAGTTCTAGACTTTCCTTCAGACATTGTGGGTGTGTGCCTTGTGCTATGGATAGTTCTAGAATTTTCTTCAGGCATGTCTTCACTTCCTACCAGGATTCAAGAATGGTTTTTAGAAATAAATCTGAAAGCCTGAAGGCTCTCTGGTCCGTTGGACTTGGATATAGTTTTCCCATGTCCATCTGCTGGGGTAGGCACCATGATAGATACTTGAAACCCAGTTCACAAAAAGTCAGTCTTCCAAGGGGGGTTACAGAAGGGCCAGGTGAGTGGCTCTCCTAAAGGAAGGGTTGTGGAATAAAGTATTCTCCTTTCTATATAATTTAACTGTTTAAACCAGACATAGTCTCTGCCTTCAAGGAGCTTTTTTTAAACCTACAGTTTTAACAAAGACCCTGAAAGGAAATGTCTTTCATAGACATTAGTGTGTATGTCAGCATGTAACCAGCTTTCATCAGTGAACAGATGGAGAACACCTTCCTTCTTTGAGCTCAGAAGTCCCCAAGGGTCAATCACAGATTGTGCCACTTGGCTGATTTATTTTTTTTCTAATTTTTTTGGCCTTCCTTTCCTGATATTAATAAATGTCAAGGTATAGGCGTGAATGAGCTTTAGGAAACATTTATTGCACTATTTTTTGTTATTAATAGTAGGAGACCTCAAGAGTAAAGAAAATATTTCCTGGCTGGGTATGGTGGCTCACACCTGTAATCCCAGCACTTTGAGAGACCAAGGTATGAGGATTGCCTGAATCCAGGAGTTCAAGACCAGGCTGGGCAACTTGGCAAGACCTCGTCTCTACAATAAATTAAAAAAATTAGCCAGGCATGGTGGCATGCACCTGTAGTACCGGAAGGATTGTCTGAGCCCAGTAGGTGAAAGCTGCAGTGGCCGTGAGCATGCCACTGCACTCCCACGTGGATGACAGAAAGAGATTCTGACTCAAGAAAAGAAAAAACAGAAAAAGAAAAAAGAAAATATTTTCTATCCTATTTGTTTCATAAGGAACACCAAGATAGAGACTGCTTTAACAGCTTTCCCTAAGGTCTCAAAGTCATTAGCTGGAAGCTAAATATTCTGGTTCCTACTTTCAGATTTTTAACTTCGGCCGCAATTTTCTCATCTGTAAAATAACACCTAGATTATAAAAGTTAAATGAAGCAATCTAAGAAAACGCTTTAGGACAGGACCTTGTACACAGAAAGCACATAATTATTTCTACTGAATATGGCACCTGATCTCCCTGGTGATCTTGATCTCTGTGCCCTGTTCTGGGTAGGCCTGTGAGCTAATCAGCTTGCTGGTATCAAGGTGATACACCAGAACATGCTAAAAAGAGTGAATTTTCTTCTGAAAATCTGTATTGAAAGGAATCAGTAAAGTGTGCTTCTCAGAGGATGAAATTGTTAATGCACAGAAATCTGTGCACTGTTGGATTTCTGATTTTCCTTTTATGTAGGGCACCCGTTCCTTTCCCTGATTCTGGGTTCCAGCATCTTCCAGTTCTAGATCTTCCGGCTCTCTGATTGCCTCTTAATTCCTCCTGTCTCTCTGTCTTATACGTTCTCAAACCACCTGCCCAAACAAGACAGGAATGTTTTCTGTTGGGTTGTTAAAACAGCTTAGTCAGGCACAGTGGCTCACGCCTATAATCCCAGCATTTTGGGAGGCGGGGGCGAGAGGATTGTCCAAGTCCAGGGTCTTGAGACCAGCCTGGGCAAGTTGGCAAGGCCTCATCTCTACAATAAATAAAAAAATTAGCCAGGTGTGGTCGTGTACGACTATAGTTCCAGCTACTTGGAAGGCTGAGGCAGAAGGATCGCCTGAGCCCAGCAGGTCAAGGCTGTGGTGGCCATGAGCATGCCACTGCACTCCAGCATGGGCGACAGAGTGAGACTCCAACTTAAATTAAAAAATGAGTAAATGACTGAATGAATAAACAAACAAACAAATAAAGCAGCTTAAAAGAGAAAAAGAATTCACACAAGCTCTCATAAATCGCAAAGCTGGGTATGTGATAATCCACAAAAAGGAACATTCCTTTTCCTGGAACAAGGTAGAGAAAGGCACCGAATCATAAGGCAACAAGCCTAAGCTTGTGTTCCTCAGATACTCAGAGCAGTATGGTCTTGACTAATAACACCTTTGGCCCAGTAGTGCCTTTTCCTTGAGAAGCTCAATCAATTTCAGAGTTCTTATTTATCCTGTCATATGGGGAATAGGTATTCTATCTCTAGAGTGTCCCCAGGGAAACTGAGTTGCAGCAAAGGTTGGAGTCTGTCCTAGGTATAGGGTAGCTGGACAACAGGAAGCATTGAGTTATTGAAAGAACAGAAAAAGAATTAAGGTATTGTGACAAATCTAAAAGTATAACTGGGACCCATGTCCCCACTGTGCTTTCTCAAACACCAAAAGCAGATCCAAAACCAGCCTGAATTTGAGTGCTGTCAGGACACATGTCTAGCTTACACCACATTATACTTATTCTTTGGTTTTATGTGTAGTATCTACTCATAAGAATTCTTGCGTCTACTTCAGATATGCTTTTCCTTCCTGACTACACTGGGAATGGACTCAAAGTTTGCTGACTGAAAGGCAGTCACAGCCCTGGGTGATCTTAGAAGCTGGCCTGCATTACCTTGAAGCCCTTTTTATTCTCAGGAACAATAATAGCTGTAGCAGATTTTTGTGTGTGTGTTTGCCCGCCTTATGCTGGGTATCATGTGAGAGACTTTCTAACATCTTCTTACATAGTCCTCACAGTCCAGCAAAACATTATCACCATGTTACAGATGATAAAACTAAGGAATGGAGAGTTATACAAGCTGTCAAAGTGAATCTAACCACTGCTAAAGTGATGGAGCCTTGATATGAAGTAAGCGTGCTAGACTCCAAAATGTATGCTTTTTGTGGAACTCTGTCCTTCCTCTGTATTCTACTGCTTGGCATGTAATACTGGCATGGTCCAATGTGATCACTGACGTGGGAGAGTCTAAGTGATATACAAATAGGCGTTTGCAAGCCCATGAGTGAGAATCTCAGTGGCAGAGGAAGGAGACCTTGCAGCTTTCTTAAGCATCATTATGCCTTGCTGAGTGTCCTTGCCTAAACCACTTGCCTTCTCTGGACATCTGTTCCCTCACTGGAACAATCACTCAAAACTGCCTCCTGGGGACAGGGTGAAGAAGGCAGGCAAGAAGAGGTTTACATATGCAGACAAACTCAGGTAAGACCAAAAGACCTCAGGGGGAGGGGTCTGGTCCAAAGGGGCCGAGAGAGCTTTATCAGAACGAACAGTAATAAATGAGCTTTTACAAATAAGAGATAAAAGAGGCCAAGTTATTTTTAGAAAATAATTCATGTGGGCGCTTGCTGCCTCTTTTCTTCCATGCCAATTGAGCAGAATGTGGGTCAGGCAGAAAAGCAATTACCCTTTGAGTTAACTGGAGGGCAGTGTTGATTAGAGGATATTCCTTGTAAAATTCCATTGCCATCTTCTTGCTCTCAGAAAGGTGACTTTGCAGAGGCCATCTGCATACAACCCTTGACTTTGTTTTGGGGAGGAGTCCAATCAGCCACGCCTCTCTTGTTATCTTTCGGGCTTATTCTCACTTAAGTGATTCCATGAGATGGCATGGATCCTGCATCAAATAACTTGAAAGGACAACATGACATTCTCCTCAGCAGAGTCAGACAAAGTTGCATGTCCCTGACACTCACAGGGCACCATACTTAGCCCTGAACCTTTGATTCATGGATTGCTTCTTCCTCCCATTTCTAAAACAATGATGTTGCCCAGTCTCAACCTTGAAGTTCCATTTTTCATGTTAAAAAAAAAAGCCTAAAAGAGATGCTAAAAGGATATGTAGACTGACAAAAATGTCAGTTCTTTTGCTGTTGAAAAATTGGGAAACAAATGCAAGTATTGCTTAATAAATGTAGTTAAGTTGGAAGACAAATTGCTTATCAAATGATGTAGTGTTTTGTTTAGATGGCTTGGCCAAAATACCTAGGCTCTGTTTTCAGCTCTGGTCTTAAATTGCTATATCCCACACAGGCCTCCCAATGAGATATGCACAGACTCTCACAATGGTCGGCTTGATTTCTTTTTTCATGTGTGTTTATTTTCTTTCTCCTGCTGGACTGAAAGCTCCTTGAGGACAGGATCACATTTCAAAATTCTAGTACAAAATTCAGAAATTCAGCAAACTTGGGTCAGGCAGATCCCTACACCTGGTGCCACAGTGCAACATTACTTCATGGTTAGCAAATCGGATATCTCGAGAAAATATGGTGGCCACCCAGTCACCATATTTTTTTTTTTTGAATTCGAGTCTCACTCCGTTGTCCAGGCTGGAGTGCAATGGCATGCTCACAGCCACCCCAGTGTCAACCTGCTGGGCTCTGGTGATCCTTCCGCCTCAGCCTTCCACGTAGCCAGAACCACAGGCGTGAGCTACCACACCCAGCTAATATTTTGGTTTATTGTAGAGATGAGGTCTTACCATGCTGCCCAGGGTAGTCTCAAACCCTCAGGATCAGGCAATCCTCTAGCCTTGGCCTCCCAAAGTGGGGTTACAGGCTTGAGCCACTACGCCCAGTCAAGAGATTTTTTTTTTCTTTTTTGTATTTGGGTGCTCTTCAACTCACCTGAGGTCAGAATGGTATCTTTTGGTAACACCATAAATTTATATACTATTAAAATGTTTCCAATATATTTTCTATTTATTCTCCCATTTCATTTCTTTATCACTCCGGTAAGGTTGGCAGGGCAGACTGAACCACGGGATGTTACCCAGATGTGTAACCACTTAGGGCCCAGAGAGGAGGGAGGCATGCTGAGAGCTTCCCAGTGACTCAGGCAGAGGCTGGACAAAATCCTAGGTCAACTGACTCCTGGTCAGGTGCCTGTTCCATTTCTCCCCTTTAGTACCCATCTCCCTGCTGCAGTGAGCTGCTGATTCTGATCACATCCCTACACCTGGTACCACAGTGCAACATTACCTCATGGTTAGCAAATCGAATATCTCGAGAAAATATGGTGGCCACCCAGTCACACCCTAGTTTGACATCAATGTTCTGGGCTAGTTTCTCCAGGGTGGGTAGGTGGCTAGCTTGGAAGTGGTAAGCCAGGGTCACATGCAGCTGCTTCTTATGCGGTTCCACATGTACTTCTGGAAAGAAGAAGAAAAAGGTCAGGAATTAGAAGGTGGAAATCAGCAATGACAGGGACTTAAGGACGAGCATAGAAAAGTGCCCTGATAAATTCTGCTTCTCAAATAACAAAAGAGAGTCCCCCGGGTTAGGTAAAACGCTGTTCCTCTCCTTTTTATAGTAGAATAAGGGGGCAGGGGCAGGTGGCAAGAGTTTCTGAATCAGCCCACTATTAAGAAAGGAGGAGCCACGTGTTTGGCTTTGCTGCAGGAGCTCCGGATTGACCTGGGACAATCCTTTCGGCTGATTCTCCTCACAACCACCCCAGTAGCTTATCACCATGCTACCAGTCAGATGAGGAAACTGAGGCCTGACGGCAGATGAAATATATTTATGTAGAAATACAGAGCAAGTTGTATGATTGTGTGACTCCTTGGATTACACTGCCTTCTTTTTCGAGTCTGTTAGCTTCTGGGAGAGTCTGTTGGAGAAATGAGGGGGGAAACGATGGACATTTTCAAAGTTCAAAGCAGGATTTCTCTCAACAGCATTTTGGATCAAGTAATTATTTGTTGTGGGGTCTGTCCTGTGCACGACAGGGTGTTTAGCAGCACCTCTGGCCTCCAAGTTGTGACAACTGAAAATGACATCACAATTGCCAAATGTCACCTGGGGAGCAAAATTGCCCTTTTTAAAAAAAAAAAAAATTATGTGGGGTACAATTCAGATTTAGGTATACAAGTGGTCATTGTACAGGTAAAGTTTGGGCCTCCCTTTAGTCCCCACTTCGCCTGGTTTGAGATCAGGTACGCTTACTGATGTTGTGTTCCCCTCCCTCCTCCTCCCACCCCCGGCAATATCCCACTACTGCCAATCCCTTTCTTATAGTATTATGGTAAATGATCAGGGTCTGCTTATAAATGAGAACATGTGGTACTCAGTTCTTTGTTTCTGTGATAGATCACTGAATATGATAGACTCTAAATCCATCCAAGTTGCTGTGAAGTCCTTGCTTTTGTTCCTGAGAAGTACTGGTTTAAAGTATGCAGACTGTTATTCTAAGACTGTTCAAGAAACAAAGCCGAATGAACCTACCTACATGAGGGAATGGCTTTTATTTCTATTTTGTATGTACAATGAGAGAGAATCATTACTGTTCCAGCTAGAAAAATGTAAGACTGTATCTCCACTCAGCATTGTATGTAGGTTTTTAGTACTTGTTAACGAATATATGCATGCGGATGAATCTCCTTAAACCACCTAGAATGAAGGATGACAATAAATGTACTTAATAAAGGTATCTGGGTCTGCCAACTTATGCCCTAGGCATAAGTTCTAGGGCAAAGACATGATGGCCTGCTTTCCATGCTAGGTAAAGAGGAGCAGCTGGACCAGCTAGGCTGGGTAGGGTCACCCAGTTCTCCAAACCACCACCAGGGGGCCACACAAGGGCAGAGAAAACGAAGCTGGCCAAGTTCTTTATGACCACAGAATCTTGGAGAGGGACTGGCTCTAGTCTATCCCTTCCCACGTGGAAAGCTGGGACCTCCGCTGCCTCTCATCCAATATGCACTCTAAGAATCTGCTGCAGTCCTGGCTGAGGCCTGCTTTTTCTCATTTGTGAAGGATTTGGGTTTGGTGGCTACGACATTCGTTTTGGTTCTTGTGGGGATTTAGTGGTTCTGACAATAACTATTGTGGGATGAAAAAAAGCCATTTCCTTGAGATCGAGGGATAAGAACAGGAAGCAATTTGCCTCTCAGTTATGCTACTTCTTTGAAATATTAAGCTTCTGTCAATGTCAGGCTCCATTGAAGTCAGAAACCAGAGACTAGTCCCTGGGGGAGAAGAGGCTTGACTGGAGTCTGAGGAGACTCTCCTTCCCAAGCACAGAAGGTCTCCTAAGGGCCCAGAGTTCCTTCTGAGAGTGGAGACCTCACCATGATCCTGCAGTGATGCTGAGCTCTGATCACAACCTTCCTAGCGCCCCGAGCCTTATTTGGAGCCTTTCTGGTAAAAAGGAACATTGAGCAAAAGGGCTGAAGTTGGTAACAAAAATAGAAGAGCTGTGCATGGTGGTTCACGCCTATAATTCCAGCACTGTTGGAGGCTGAGGCGGGAGGATTGCTTGAGCTCAGGAGTTCGAGACCAGCCTAGGCAACATAGTGAGACCTCGTCTCTACAAAAATATAAAAAAATCAGCCAGGCATGGTGGTGCCTACCTGTAGTCCCAGCTCAGGAGGCCTACCTGTAGTCCCAGCTCAGGAGGCTGAGGTGGAAGGATTGTCTGACCCAGGAGGTCATGGCTGCAGTGAGCTGTGATGGTGCCACTACACTCCAGCCTGAGCAACAGAGTGAGACTCCTACTCAAAAAAAAAAAAAAAAAAAAAAGCAAGAAGGAGCAATGGCAGTGAAATATAGGTGACTAAGGAGCAAACTGTTTGTGGCTTTGCTCAGGTCTTTCTCCTCTTTGGCCCACTGTAAAAGTGGGGGTGGGCAAGCTCTGGGTCGCTCCCTGCTTTGCATTTAACACTCAGATTCATTTATACAGCTTGTACCCTCCTCTCTGCTCAGGGTAGCCTCCCCACTGTCCTCTGCTCACACCCTCTCATTCCTGCCCGTGCTCTTGCCGCCCATCCACCCGAAAGGCCCATCCTCCATTTTCCTGATCAATCTCTTCCCAGTGCACGTTTCCCTCCTTCAGCGAAGATGGAAGCACACAGTCTGCAATGGCCTCTCTCTTCTCAGAGCTGTTATTACACAGGGTCTGGCCAGGAGAAGCCACTTCTTATTCTGTTCTCAGTTGCATTCCTCATGGGTAAACACATAGCTAAGTACCTGCTGATTGGGATTTCATTCTGGAGGGAAACAACAGAGGCTCCCGCCCCCTCGGTTATCTGTCTGTAAGGCTCTCATTGAGCTAAGTGAGCTTGTCAGCACCTGTAGTCTGACCGGAGGGCTTTGCAAACTTCCCCCTCTTGCCCCTGTGTGTGTCTCCTGCCTCAAGCACCCTGTAAGCGATTTCCTTTGCTGGGAAACCTCAGTTGGCTTGAACTAAGAAGCTGCCATGAAAATAGTTGGAGACATCTTGATGAGGTTACATTTTTGGACAGACTTTTGAGGCTTAGGGGCCTCAGAGGTTTCAGCAAGTGGAAGGGTGTTAGCTTAGTGGATTTGGGTTCCACTCTTCCTTCCTATGCTATGCCCTGGGCAGGAGTTCAGGAGGAAGAAGCCAATGAGGACGTTTCCTTCATCCAAAACTGGGTGGGGATGGTGGTGCCACAAAGAAATACATTTCTAGTTCACTGTGCAACAGTCCTTGTGTACCTTCAGCTTGGGTGTTAGGGATTAAGCATTGGCAGTCTCTGCGGAACAGTCGTTGAATGTTTTTACAAGGAGCGAAGAGGTGAGGGTGCTGTGGGACAAGGCTGTGTCCTTTGTCGTGTGTGTCCATTCCTAAGGCCCTCCACCTTCTGACTCCATTCTGCTCCCCTTCTCTACGGGTTGATCGACAGGGCCCAAAGCCGGCCCAGCAGTTGTGTTTGCTCACCGGTTTTGGATGCAGCCTCTGCAGCAAAGTCAGCGGCAAACTTCTTGAGGACCTCGGCACTGTCTTCCTTTACAAAGAGGCCGATGAAGTTGGAGGAGGTGTAGAGCTCCAGGGGCAGTGGGGCAGAGAACTTACATTTCCAGCGACTGACGGTGGTCTGCAGGGCTTCCCCCAGGGCATCCACCTTGCTGTCCTCACACTGGCAGAGAAAACAAGCAGGCTTCACTCAGAGACAAAGGAGATGCAGGTCTGCTGCTACTCAACATGGCCATCTTCTCCCCAGAGATAGCAGGCTGATACTGCAGTGACTTAACCATCATTCTCATCCGTGGGGAGGGAGAAGGGCCGCACAAGCCCAGTGATCCAGACACAGATTATCCAGCTGGAACATTCGACCTCTTCCTTTCTTCCCTTACTCTGAAGTGGCCCCTGTGAACCCAGCCAAAATGCAGTGGGACTGGTCCAAGCCAAAGCAAGAAAGGAGGGATGGGATTGGAAAATGTGAATCAAAGGACACAACATTTCAGTTAGACAGGAGGAATAAGTTCGGGAGAGCTACTGTACAACATGGTGACTGTGGTTAAAACAAGGCATGATAGATTTTAAGTGTTCTCACCACAAATAAATATGTGAGGTAATGCATATATAGCTAGCTTGGTTTAGCTACTCCACAATGAGTACATATATTAGACCATAATGTTGTACAATATAAATATATACAATGGTTTTTTTGGGGTCAGAGTCTCATTGTCACTTAGGCTGGAATGTAGTGGCATGATCACTGTAGCCTTGATCTCCTGGGCTCAGGAGATCCTTCTGCCTCAGCCTCCTGAGTAGCTGGGACTGGCTATTTAAAAAATTTTTTTTTTGTTGAGATGAGGTCTCGCTATGATACCCAGGCTGGTCTCAAACTCCTGGGCTCAAGCAATCTTCCTGCCTTGGCCTCCCAAAGTGCTGGAATTACAGGTGTGAGCCAACACACCCGGCTGAATTTTTATTTGTTAATTATTAAAAAAAAGTTATCCTTGCTTGTGAAAAAAAAAAGAAAAGAAGAAGAATGTGACAGGAGACAGTCCAGCATCCCAGGATACATTGTTTTGAGTTTTCTCCTGTTTTTCATCATCTGTACTTTTCTGTTCCTCTTAGATGATCAAAAGTTGACTCTTATTTCCACCCTTCCATCCTCGTGCTAGCTGGGGAGAATGAGTCTCAGAGAGTGTGACACCATCCTCCTACCTTCCTGAGAGCATTGGAAAAAGAATGAATGTCTCTCAAGCTCTGAAGGGTTTTGAGAAAGATCCTGGGATGACTAAGAGGAAATGATAATCACTTTAATTTTCAGCGTGAATGGCAAAAGAGAAGGTGTTAGGAACATATTATTACCAAAGGCGGTTGGGGGGGGGGTTGGAGAATGTACCTGGAAAAAAACAAAGCAAAATATGTTTTTAAAAATTGTCTTAAAATGTTACCATTCTGCTTTGTCTTGAATATATGTGGATAAATCAACTCTTCTCCATTTCCACAGAGAGCTAAAGTATAAAATGTACTTACATTTATCATAGTGAGGAAGGTTTCATTTGGGCATTAAATAAGCTTTCTGGGCTAGGCGCGGTGGTTCACGCCTGTAATTCCGGCACTTTGGGAGATCCAGTGAGAGGACTGCTTGAGCCTAGCAGTTCAAGACCAGCCTAGGCAACAGGGTGAGACTTTGTCTCTACAAAAAAATCAAAAATTAGCTGGGCATAGTGGTACACACTTGTAGTCCCAGCTACTCAGAAGGGTGAGGTGGAAGGATCGCCTGAGCCCAGGAGATGAAGGCTGCGGTGAGCCATGATAGTGCCACTGCAATCTAGCCTGGGTGACAGAGAGAGACCTTGACTTTAAAAAAAAATAATAATAATAAAGAAAGAAAGAAAAAAAGCATTCTGACAGCTGGGATTATAGACTAGGTAACTATGGCAGGGAAAAGGTATCTTTGCTTTCTCTAGAAGGATGTAGGTGAAAAAACCCGAGGACAAGATTTTTCCTGTCTATAGACTATACTTCTTATTCCCCATGTTCTCAGTTTCTACTCTTCCTTGTTGTAAGAGTGGGGAGGAAAGGATAAGAGTGAATCTATTCTGGCTGCCAGCCTAGCGTGTCCTCACAGAGCGTCACAGAAGAGCACTGGGTCATCATAATGCTATACCAAACCTGGGGTGCTCCTAGGCCTCCTTTTTTAAGGAGGACTTAGGGTGAGACCCTCACTGTGGACCACTCGCTGAAGGGCCGTTCAGATCTGGGAGCCCGTGGCTATTCCTGCAGTCTTTCCAAAAGGCTCTTGCTTTACTCCAGATCCCAAGAGGTTGGCCGGGATCCTGGGAGACAGGCTCCCTGGGGGTGGGGCACTGCAGCTCACCATGAAGAACTGGCAGAGGGTGATATGGGGGAAGATGTTGTGGGCCTTGTTCTTCCCGCAGATCTGCTTTGACTGCTGCCAAAAGTCGGAAAGCTTCTGTGCTAAGGGCCCGGTGGGGCGGAGGTAGAGGACATACTCCCGGGGCAGGGGGTCATCCAGGAAGGGGTCACCGACGTGGGAGAATAACCTGTAAGACAAAAGGGAGCCAAGGAGGCCTCATTTGAGGATAACGGAAGCGAAGAAAGAACTGAGAGAGACAGACTCACTCTCCATGCATTCTGCACCCAGGGAACTGCACGGGAAAGGGTTCTCATTTGTGCTTTAAAATTCTGCCCCTCGAAGCCCACATTTCATCACCAACTCTCATATGCACCAACTTCTGTTCTGTTTGTCATATTGCCTTCTTATCCCACAACTCCCTAAAAAAAGCCTGAAACCACTCTCCAGGAAGCATCCTCAGATAAACTCCAAATCCCTTTCCAGTCCACTGGTAGACTTCCAACCCAGCTTGTCTCTCAGTTCAGCCTATGGATTAAGCCCATGCTCCACAGCCTAGGAGAGGAGGGTCGGTCGCCTTGCAGGTTCTGCCCTGGGTAGGGCCTTTTTCTAAATCAATTTTCCCAGTGTTCATACTCCTAAGTGAATCTTTAAGAGATTGGAAGTGGGCAGATATTTTTAGAAGGGTATTATCTTGGAATACTTTGAGTTTCTCTAAACAGCTCCAAGGAGAAACACGCCCTGGGGCCGGGGGCAGAGGAGGCCAGTGATTTGATAAAAAGGCTTGTCATACAGTCTCTTGGCTCATCGCCCCCTTGGAAGGGTCCATTAGAGAAGGACTGCACCTCCCCACTCATCCACATGCACTCAGAGTAAATTATACGCTATTTTTTTCAATTTATTTATTTCATACCAACCAGTCACATGCTGCCTGAACACTTCTTCCTCCTGTGGATGCCAAGGCTTTTTGTCTGGAAGAAAAAAATCAAATTTCTATTGTTAGTATTTTTAGTCTCCTCTCAGTTTTTCCCACTGCAGTGGCAAGAGTTGAGCGTGAAGGAGGCAACATCAAAGCCCGGTTCCACTCACTCCTCTGTGGTGTGTGGGGAGGAGACACCTGCAGCAGGTTTCCCCCCAAGGGTCATAGCGAGGCAGATGGAGGTTACGACTTGTAATTAATTTCCATGTAATTAGCATTGGATTTGCATGCAGCCTGACAGCCCAGGCAGTGTATTTTCAGCAGTTTCCACATTAGCGTTTTATTTTTGCTTCTTGAAAGGTTGTCATGTCTTGGTTTTTCCTCCTTCCTCTTCACCCACTCATTCTTACTGACCCAGATCCCCGACAGAGTAGATTCTTGTAGATCCCCAACGGAGCGGATTCTTGTTTGCAGCCCCTTGGCAGAATGGGTTAGAAGTGGTGTTGGTGGTTTTTAGGACATGGGGCTAAATGCTCATGGGGACAATTGGTTTGGGTCAATTTGGTGCCTCCCTTCACCCACCTCCAGCCACCACCACCAGCCCCAGGCTGGCTGCATCATTTCCAACTACTTTACAGACACCTTTGGGGACAAGTAGCACTTGGTAAAAGAGAATGGCCAGGGTAGTGCAGCTATCATTCCCACTTCTGGAGCAACAATTCAAAGCCCTACTAAAGATGGGTTGGTATTCACAGAATAGTTATAGCAGTAAGGCCCTGTGCACAGGCTTACAAGCAGAGTTCTTCTGAAATTATATACAAGTCTACGAGAGCCAGAGAGTCCTGGTTTCATATCCAGTTTTGCTATTCATCCATCCTTTCATTCATTCATTCATGCATTTGCGCTTACATTTATTCAATAAGTTATCTATTAAATCTCAACTGTTTTGTCAGCACTGTGCTAAGCTCTCTCTAGGAATACAGGCACAAACAAGACTTATATGGTCCCTGCCCTAAAGGAGTTTTCAGTCAAGTAGGCATGAAAATACTAATTGTACGGAGAACTACTTAATTACATCGTTGTTAAGTGCAATGGAGGGAAAGCACAAGGAACCACATGAACAAGACAGAAGATCTGTGTAATCTGGTCTGCGGGGTGGGAAAAGGCTGCACTGAGAATGAGACGTTTCATGTGAACTTTGAAGGATAGAGACACATCTGGGCAGGGGGTGAGCGAAGTGAGGGTGGTGGTTGTCAAAGTGGAAGATACCTGGTACATCTACTAAATAGTGAGGTGTAGAGGTTAAATCAGCTGCAGTATGGAAGGAACCTTGGACAGTCACTGATTCATCCTAAGTGATCAGTAAGTGATCATTCTTATCCCTTTATATACATTGATTCAGGGTCCTTGGGAAAGAGAAGAGATGAGAGGTAATCTGAGTGAAACTGACACTCCTGTCAAGCATCTTTTCCTCCATTGGCTGGTGAATCCAGTTCCTCCTTTTTTGTCCTACCCCTCTATGGAACAATTAGAGTGACCGATGCTGTGAGCATTTGCAGTGTCAGCTTGAAGGGACCTCAGAGATCAAAGGTGAATCCAACTGCTTCATTTGACACAAGGGGACACTCAGGTGGAAAGAAGTGAAGAAACGTGCTCAAAGCAGCCTGGCCGAGATGATGACTGAGCAAAGGCCTACTCTAAGGCCAGGCTCCATTGCTCCACATCACAACAAAAAGATACATCAAAGACCTTCCTTTGCCTCCATGAAAGTCGGAGCACAAATTCCCAATGATCAGGGTAAAGAAATCTGCAGTACTACTTAGAACAGCATTGCAAAAGACAAGCCTACTTACAGTGAGGTGAAGTTGTGGAGAAGTATAATTTTGGATCCCCTTGAAACAATTGGTACAGAAAAGGCTAAAAGCACAGAGACCCACACACGCTCATTCCCACACCTTGACAAGGTGTTTAACTGCTTCCCAGTTGCAGCCCTGTCTGCTTCCTCATGGGTTACCAGACAGAGGTCACACATCTCGCTTTTTTCAGTACAGAGGCCATGTACCCACAAAAGAACGCAAATCATAAACTTTTAGAGGTTAGAATCTCAGAAGAACTCAATTCACCAAAAAAGGGCCCATTGTTTAAAAAAACAATTGGGAAAAGGAAAACTCATTTGTGGCACTAGACAACGTGCTATTTATATAAAGGATGCAATTTCTTTCTTCCTTTCTTTTTTTTTTTTTTTACATTATTCCCCCAATGAAATATATCCGACTGAAATTTAATTTATTTCTTCTGAAGCACTAGGAGTATTCTCTAGAAATGGAAGCTCTAATTAAGTTATGGCCTCAGTAACTCAAAAGACAAGTTTTGGAAAGAGTTCAAAGAAAGAATTGAAAAAGATAATTAGAGGTTTGGGTGATAAGACTATGACGAAAGGTTAAGGAAATCTAAATTCTTCATTCTGAAGAAGGCAATTCTGAGAGGTTCTCAGTTTTATGGAAGGTTATCATATCTGATGCATCTGCTCTGGGGACGGTCAGTCAAAAGAAAATAAGCTTTGCCTACAGCACAAAGGGCTCAAGTTAACTACCAGGAAGAACTTTCTGGCAGAGATGAGCTTTAAAAGTTTGTGAGTTTTTTGGGAAAGTTTCTAGGAAGTAGCTACTTATCTGAAACAAGAGTGTGCAATTCTCTAGGCAGAGGTTGCAGGAGTAAATTCATGTTTCCCTTAGGGTCATGAGCCACAGGCAAACCCTGCTGCCCCTTCACCCACTGCCAGGCTGGCACCGCTTTGGGTTGAGTTTGTTCCCAGAACTCTGCCCACAGAACAGACTGAACATGGGCACGGTAGAACAAGCTCCGCCTCTCCACTCTGCTGAAGAAATACTGTTGCCATAGAGCACCCACCTCCATGGTCCATCCAATGGGGCTAATGCCAAGGGCAAGTGGGAATGGTGTGGGGTGGACCCTAAACCCCAGACTGAGCCTAAACATCTGCTGTTCTCAGAATGACTCAGGAGTTGGCAGAGGGTTTATTTCAGAGACTGCCTGAGACCCTGAGCAGATAAAGGAGTATCCCTTTAAACTAAATCACCAGGAGTTTAGCCTTTGGATTATGGCAATTAGTGATTTAAGTGGGAACTTCTTGATTAGAATCATTGGAACAAATCAATTTCTTTTTTCTTTTCTTTTCTTTTTTTACCTTGCTCTGTTGCCCAGGCTGGAGTGCAGGGCTCACTGCAACCTTGAACTCCTGGGCTCAAGTGATCCTCCTGCCTTAGCCTCCTGCATAGCTGGGGCTACAGCCATGTGCCATCACATCCGGCTGATTTTTTTAGAGACAGAGTCTTGTGATGATGCCCAGGCTAGTCTTGACTCCTGGCCTCAAGCAATCCTCCCACCTCAGCCTCCTGAGTAGCTGGGATTATAGTTGTGAGCTACCATGCCTGCCTGACTTGAATTATTGAAGTTCGGTCACATGCAAACCTAAATTTGACTTCAGATCTTGTCCGAAACTTCTCGGTTATGTCTCGGGTTCATTGACAGCAGAATATGGAAAGAAAAAGATGATGCAGACCCTCATGTCTGAAAAGGATGGAGAAAACAGCACAAATAAGATAAACTCAATGGCTAATCAAAAAATCAGGTCAGCAGCTGTGAGGAAATTAGCCAAGGAGAGAACTAGCAGCACCCGCTGATGGCCCTTCTATGCTCTGGCTAGGATTCCTCCCACTATTTTCCCTCAGCTCCACTGATTTTTGGATTCAAGGTTGGTCTGGCCCCAGGGTCACAGAAATACCCTTATGCCTTTGAAGAAGGTTTAGAAAGGGAAAATTCCTTTTCCATTAGTTCACCTGAGACAGCAGCATTCTTCTTTTCCTTCTTCCCTCCCTTCCTTTCTTTCTTCCTCCCCTCATTCTCTTCCTCCCTCTCTTTCCTTTCATTCCCTTTTTCCTTCTCTTCCAAAGGAACTCTTACCAGGAAACCAAATGAAAATAAAAAACAAAACCAAGAGTTTGTTGAATGTAGGTTTCTGAGCGGTTGGCACCCTTTCCAAGACAACAACTTCTGCTGCCCCTTGGTTGATTCAGGCCTGACTGAGCAGATGCTGGCTGGTTCCAGTCCCAGGTCCAACAGAACTCCCATTCTCTTTCAGAACCATAGAGCTGAGCTGGACTAGACTCTCCTGTGTAACTGTCATAGGTTGACTTCCTCTGTGTCGCCCTGGTCCTCTGAGGTTCCAGGGTGTCTTTGACCTGCCTGTTAGTTCAGTTCTTCTCAATTGAACACCAGTCAGGCCCTGCATTATCACGGGGTGTACGAAGAAGAGAAAAGCATGGTCCTTACCAAGCTTTCAGAGCCTTACAGAGAAAAAGAAAGGAAAACAAAACAAAACAAAAACAGACACACAAGCAGCTTCTTACCGTGCAATATGCTGAGGGCCGTGACGGAGACCTGCAGTGTGACAAGAGAGCTCAGGGCAAGGAATCGAATTCAGTAGGCCTGAGGTTCTCAAACTGTACACCAAACTACCATCCTAGGTCAGAACACCACAGTAAACCTGAAAAGCTTCCACGGGCTTTTTTATATTTTGTGAGAGAAACATAGCCATACACATCATTGGCTGAACACTACATAAGCTTCTTGCTCGAGGTAGTTACAGTTCATAATACGAGACTGTGTTGCATTCCTTCTGATGCCTTATCTTTGTGAAGCTGGAGTTTTGGCAACTGTTGTAATAAAAAGCAAGTCTAATAAAGCTGTATTTCAGGAAACTGTTTAGAAGGTCTCCAGTAGATCAGAAGGGCATCTTGAGAAATTGAACTGAAGCAGTGACAATAGGGGATGTTGGCCATGGTGTAGGAAGTTTAGAGCTTGAATGCCTGTGTGGATGTGGAGACACCCCTCTGAATGAGAATGCGGGAGTAAAAGCAAGTTTGAGATGAGAATGATATTGCTATTAGTTATTGCTCCAGGCTAACAGCTAGACCAAGTATCATCAACAGACTCAACAGATCTTGTTGTCAGGTACATTTTTTGTTAGCTTAACTACACTTCCTTGTCTCTTTCCATTTGTAATCCAGGAGTTTCTTTGGGGTCAACCATTGAGTTCCTATTTCCTGTTTAAAGAATACTTTCAGGTCAGACGCAGTGGCTGACACCTGTAATCCCAGCGCTTTGGGAGGCTGAGGCGAGAGGACTGCCTGAGTCCAGGGGTTCGAGACCAGGCTGAGTAACTTGGCGAGACCTTGTCTCTACAATAAATCAAAAAATTAGCTGGGTGTGGTGACACACACCTGTAGTTCCAGCTACTTGGAAGGTTGAGGTGGAAGGATCACCTGAGCCCAGCAGGTCAAGGCTGTGGTGGCTGTGAGCATGCCACTGTACTCCAGCCTGGGTGACAGAGTGAGACTCCAACCCCCCATAAAAGAATACCTTCTGCTCCCAGCCCACTTAATGCTGAGGTAAGTAAATAGTCAAGACATCCCTGACTCAGGTGGGTAGGTTAGCCCAGACTCCAAGAGTCTCTAGTGACTCCTCATGTATTTTCAGAGGAGAGTTTTCCCATTTTAGTGCCACTTGAAAAAACTCAAATATCTGAAACCAGCAGTAGAAAACAAGAGGCAGTATATATACTAATGGAACTGGAACTATACTCCCTCAGAAGAGTAAGATTTTGGTTCAGTTAAGTAGAAAAACTTTCCAAGACAACAACTTCTGCTGCCCCTTGTTGAGCTTTCCAGTTGCTTCAAGCTGTATCATGATTGGTCCTGGATTGCTGATAGACACATACATACTCATGGTCCCAGGGACCCCACCTGCTCTGGGCATTGGTTCTTGGTGACCAAGGACCTGTTGTACAGGAAAAGAGAAGACAGTGGATGAAGCGTGTAATCCTCTAAGCAGATTAAACTTCCTATGCAACCAAAATTAAATCACGTTTCATTCATGTAGCTAAGACAATCTCAAATTTTGGAAACATTTCATACTAGCTATAAGATTTTTAAAAATGTTCTCAACCTCCAAGATACCAGTTACATTTTTTCACACCTAACAGTTTGAATTCAATTAGAAGATGGTCTAATTAATCAGATGTCTCATTCTCTTCCCTCAAAATCAGTGTAACAGTCTGCAGCAGACTGGGAGATGGGCAAACTTAGACAGGATTCAAATCCTGTTTTTCCTGGTTGGAGAGTTCAATCACACAAAGAGGCCATTGGTGCCATGAAGGAAAACTGAGGTATTTTTTAGGGTGCATTTGAAAGGCAATGTTTTTTTTCATAAAATGATTTTAAGTAGAAATATCAGAGGCTTTCATCATGCTCTATGAATTACCTACTCAGTGCTACACAACTTCACAGGGCGATTAGCCTAACAGCACACCTGACGATGACAACCATCTTGCAAACAGAGGGCAAGTGGGTGAGTCTCCAGCTACTTGTTTTTCTAGTTGAACAAAAATAAAGACATCAATAATAATTGAATGGTCTTTATGTACCACCCACTTAACAGAACTTCAACTCTCACACCATGGTTTGGATATGGTTTGTTTGGCATCATAAATTCTCATGTTGAAATCTGATCCCCAGGTGGGGTATGGTGGCTCACGCTTGTTATCCCAACACTTTGGGAGGCCAAGGAGAGAGGATTGTTTGAGGCCAGGAATTCAAAGATCAGCCTGGGTAACATTGAGAGATATTGTTTCTACTAAAAAAAAAAAAATGTATTTAAAAATATATGCATATATGTCGGGTGCAGTGGCTCATGCCTATAATCCTAGCACTTTGGGAGGCCGAGGTGAGAGGATTGCCTGAGCCCATGGGTTTGAGACCAGCCTGATCAACTTGGCAAGATTTCATCTCTGCAATAAATAAAAAAATTAGCTGGACGTGGTGGTGCATGCCTGTAATTCCAGCTACTAGGAAGGCTGAGGCAGGAGGATTGTCTGAGCCCAGCAGGTCTAGGCTGTGGTGGCCGGGAAAGTGCCACTGCACTTCAGCCTGGATGACAGAGTGAGATTCTGACTCA